ATGAAGACCCTTCAGAACTGGTAGTCAGAGACAGACTGCGAGTGGATATATTGTCTGGACCCTTCCTTCACATTTTGCCCACAAAATATACAGCAAATTCACTTGTCAGTATATTCTGTGAAGCGCTTTGAGACATGTCGAAGACGTGATAAGGCGCTATATCAAATGCAAGGATTATCATCGTTATTCCTTGGAATATACACCGTTCTTTGGGTCAAGAGGATAGTCAGGTAGCTATTGAGAAGGCTATTCAGAGTAGTGTAAAAAAGGAGCAGGTAACTGATCCTCTCACTTTCAACAGCAAATATTTGCCTGTTAAACATGCCCATAACCAAGAATTCATTACAGCTTTGTTCTGAATCTCATTATACTACATTCTTCCCAGTAACTGGTTTCCTTTAGAAGGAAGTGGAGCTCCATCTCATCGCAGCTGCAAACATTAATTGCTGTGATTCAAATTCATCTGAAAGGACATCAATAATTCAATGTTGTTTTATCGGAAGAGAGGAGAGGATGAGGGGGTTCCTTACCATGCTGATATTATCCTGCCATTCAGTACCTCTTCTGATTGTGGTTGCTGAAATGTTTTATCATGTGTCGTTTCGGAACGCACCATGAAATGAGAGCTCTGCCAATTCGCTGATAGGTGAACAATTTTAGACCAATATTAAGAAAAAAATATCGACAAAATTCAACCTAGCATTCACAGAGACTTAGATAGAAAAGCAAAGTGACAAGTTAAGCCAGGGTCGAGTTATCAGACAGTGTACTGTAGTTAACAAGGGGTTAATTGCAAAGATAACCATTCTACTGTCATGTAGTTGCTGAAAATAACTGAATTGATAGCTTTCACTTTGTAAACTTAATGTTGCGCCTTATAATCAGAGCCCAAGATTAAAAAAAAACATTTAAAGCCAATTACAATGTTATAGCACTTTACACGATTACAATGAATGAATAAGAATCAATGTGTGCGCACGTAACTCTCTGGCTTCAGTTATTCTGATCCACTTAAGCAGTCGTTTAGTCGATTGTTCTCGAACTTACATTGTTATATAACCACAGCAACACTGATAGTAAAATTATTTTTTATTATTCGCGTTCGATTCATATTAATCAAAAAAATTTAAAAGGTCCAAATGAACATATATTCCATAAGCTAAACACTTTAGTAGAAGTCTGTTCATACTGTATTGATACATCTAATGAAAAGTCTAAATTATGCTTTGAATCCAATCTGTTCACCAAATGGCCATATGTTCCTACAATACATAAATATCAAATATTACAATGTTAAGAAGGTATCTATTGCCAAGTTAACACAACTTCTATCTCTAACAGTCACAAACAAATCTGAATCTTTACACTGGTCCAACACCTTTTTTTTTTACAGAAATACACCACGAGAACAGTCTTTTCATTCATTAATTTGAGTTAAATAATCAGAGGTGAATGAATCACATCTGTTTACTGAAACAGAAGAAGATCGAATAGGTGAAATAAATGAGCAGTTAATTGATAGACACCTGTACCATGAACAGTACTGGTTTCACTGTGACAACAGTGAGTTAAGGCAAAGGCCTGCAAGTTGGAAGTTTGAAACTTAATGGAAATATCAGTATTGTACAAATAGGGGCAGAGACTGGTGTTAATCAAAAGGACTGAATGTCATCACCAAATAGGAGTGTGCAGAAAATTTAGAGAGGGGTTGTCAATGTTGGTCAAAAACTGCAGGTGTGGTGCATTATTCTCAACTTGACGGAAATGTAGTACTTCAACCGCAAACGATGGCAGTTTCACCACCTGATGTAGCTTTTTGATAATATTTATCGTCATTACATGTTAAGAAGTGTTTGGCAGGTAATTTTATTAATATTATGCCCTGGTGATGACCTTTGAAATCCTCTTGGCTCATTTAAGTTGTGGCCATTCCCAAAATACTCCTGATAAAATATTGTGATAGCAAACAGTAAAGTGTGTCCCGGGGGTGGGGTGGGTGTTTAACCATGCAAATGACTGTTGTGTTAGGGCAAAGCAAACCTGAGGGCTAAATTAATTACCAGTGTGATTTAAAAAAAACATAAGTGCAGCTTAGGTCTGTTATTGCCATTAGAGTTGTTGATTTGAGTGGCTTTGTATTGTGGAACACAATTCACGGTCTGCATTATGATATAATCAATGAATATCTCACTGTTGGCTCTTATTGACCTGAGATTACAACTTGTGATCTAACAACAGCAGTCACTTACCACTGAAGCAACCTTTTCTCTCGTGTCCAGTGAAATAGAAAGCCTAGGTTTTTAAGAGGGTAAACTCTGTGCCCAAGAAGTTCCTTGGTGGTACTTTCAAGTTTGAGGATGTCCAATGAAATAGTCTGGATAACTCAGTTTCTTGAGCACCAACTTGATTTTGAATCCTAGTGGGCCCTTTACTGTTTTGAGGTCGATATAACGAATGTCTGAATATAAGCTTGGAAAGAAAGGGGAGTTAAGTGGTGTCTCCCTGGGATCCAAATGTTTCAGAGGGAACTGACTGTGTTTTTGAGACCTCTGTGGTGGTCTCGGTAGTCCGGTTCCTGAGCCAGGCGGGTCTGTAGTATTCCAGGGCACTGCTGATGACAGCACAGCCAGCCTGGATCATCGGCAGAACTTGGAAGGACAGACCACTTACTAGGGGAAGGGAATCCCTCCACTTAGCTCCTGTTAAACCAGCAAGCCAAAGCCCTAACAACTAGAATGATCCTAGCTGGACAAGCAGTGAGAAAGATTGCCAGACAGTGCTATGAATGGCAAACTGTGCAATTTTAGCTAGTTAGACTCCAGCAGATACCCTGATACACACTCTGAGGTCCACAAGCCTTGACTCTTGCCAACCTGTGCTTAATACTTTCCAGAAATAGGTGAACAGGATGAATCCCTCCAGGGAGAATGTGCATACCACTCTACTAAATATCTCTGGGATTTCCATGTGTAGGTGGGAAATTTGTTTAGTTTGGATACACTTAAGCAACGGTGAAGAGTTTCCGCGTGTGTCAGACACCCGGATGACCAAAAAACAATCACTGAATTACAACGTTTATGGTAACGAGGATAATATTGAAATGCATTCTTTATTTAAAGATGTGACGATGCATTTTGTTTCTGCATTGCCCTCTTTTTGAAAGATCTTTGGCACACGACACATTTTTTTTAGTGAGAGGGTGGGGCGGGGAGAGGAGGGGGAAGGTGCCATGGGCCATTTTAAAATGCTGACCTTGTAGTTGGCAAGTCTTGCTCCTTCTCTGATCAATGGAGCGTCAGAAATGGTTTGGGGGGGCAATTGGGTATTTTAATGAAGTAATCCAAGGACGCAGTCGTGCCATCAGAACCAGATGCAGATTGGAGGGAAACACATGTTGCTTTGGGAGAGAACTTGTTCTTCTTGATGAGTTTGTTGTCAAGCATACCCTGTCTGTCAGTTACAAATTGGTATTATACCTGGGCACCTACTCTCTTGGCTACAAAATGCTGTTTGGCATATAAAACAAAACAAAACAGGAGAATGAGAAAATATTAAATAATTCATAAATCAATAAATAAATAAAACCATGCTAAGGAAGTATCTGTTTTGTTGCTTTCAATGAAACGCCTGAAGTTCTACCGTAACTGTATTTTCTTTCCTCTTTTCTTTCTTCCATTCAATTTGTATAACTGTATTTGTTTCTCTCCCTTTTATTGAACTCCTTTGCCCGAAGGAGGTGACTCACACAGGAGGGAAGAGACTCTCCCATGGCTATTCTTCATGTGTGAGCCGAGGTGACGAGTGTTGGTAAGCTGTTCGATAGTGGAGCTTGTCACAGCCAAGCCTGGACCTGTCCTTGCCCAGCACACGTACACTTTCCTGGAGGAATTACTGGAGGAATTAATAAGGAGCAGGAATGTTGATGTTTCTTCCCCCTTACCCAGAAATATGCCCTAGCCTAAGACAAATCAAATCAACTTGCATTTCTTAGCAGCCTTCCACATGAGTTAGCGTCCTGGAGCCCTTGAATTCAGCAAATCAATCAGCATCGACTTTGAATCAAAACTTTCTGTTCTTTTTTGGCTCATTACCTCACCGGAGGGTGGGTGGGGCGCACAAAATAAATGTAAATCCAGCAAAAATCATGATTTCGTCAGGAATTTTGAATTGAAGTCTTCCTTGGTCGTGTTTTAGGATTGAATAGCTTAAAGCAACTTTCTATCGCAGCAGCCTAGTTATTCAGTCAAGTGGGCATTTACTCACAGACGCATTAATTGGAAATCAAAGAATCGTTCAACGTTTACAAGACAGAATGAGGCGGTCGGGCCTTCAGCTTCTCTGCCCCCGCCCTTTGCAACTCCATCCCATAGTCCCTTTGCCTCGCCCCCCCCCCTCCTTCAAGGCACGTCTCAAGACCCTCTTTTTCGACCACAGCTTCGATCACCCTTTTACCTCTACGCTCCCTGCCCTCCAATGCTCCTAATCCCAACTCCCAGCTCGTGTCCAAATCGCTGACTGTCAAGTTCCTTGGGACGCCCTCCCAACATGAAAGGCGCTATACAAATTTAATTTGTTATTGTTGTTGAGACTATTTGGCGCATTGTATTAGTGCTGGTGGTATCGGTCAAATTCCCTTTAAAATTATCTTACGAACTCAGCTTTTGACAGCAATGTGTGGAAAGGTATTCCATATTCTAGCATTCCATATTCTAACAGCCCACTGCAGGTAAAAAAAAAAAAGAACTTTTAGCACTTCAGGAAAGGATTAACATTGTTATTCCCGGAAAAGTTTATGAAAATGTTAAATAAATTTCTGATCGATGAAAGAACATATTTGACCCTAATTGCCTTACTGTGAATGTTGTTTTGCAGTGTAAATCAATGAATATAGTTTAGTCTCACAGGATTATGTTCAGTGCTCACTTGTAGTTTTGCAGTAATTAAAGACCTGTTTCTCTCAAGTCACATTGGAATGTAGAAAGGAAGAAATGTTCCCTGTGTACTCCATGCCACGGAAATCCATATTCTGGCTGAATTAATATTTGTTTTTTCATTTTCGTTCAACACACCCAATCAGCTGACCAGCTTTGGCAGTACTGTCCTCTGGGTCATGTTAGGATTGGAGTCCGTACTCTGACTAAGATTGGATCTCAGTTTGTTCGGAACGCTGGCTGGAGAGGGTGGAGGTAGTTTAGACACTGCGTCCATCAGGGCAGTGGGACTCGCAGACATGCGTTTCACAAAAGTCGTTTTGTCACTCGCTGGAGGCTTTGGCAGACGTCTTCGCAGCCAAGGGTGTCGTAAGGCCTGTGCTGGTGTCATACGTAAGGCAGGATCCCACTCCAGGCTGTGTTTCAGGAAGTCAATGAAAGATGAGTCATCACAGCCCTTTAGAGCACTCGTCCAGTCCCGTTGACCAGGAGTGCCTCGAACTTTACCTCTCCGAGATCGCCCACTGTTCAAGTGCAGGGTCCCATCAGAAAGTGTTACCGTAGGACAATACCTGGGGTAACCTTTCGAACTGATGAACATTTTGGCCCGCTTGGATTGTTCCAGCAGTCTTTTAGGTGGCATTCCCAATAACTCCATCATGCAAGCTAGCTGATCTCCCTCGTCTTCACCGGGCAACAGCGGGTATCCAGTCAGCAGTTCGGCTAGAATACATCCCAAACTCCACATGTCAATGGGCATCCCATACCGTGCTCCTAGGATCACTTCGGGAGCTCGGTAGAAACGCGACTGTATGTACGTGTAAATTCTTTGATGTTCGTAGCAGCTGGATCCAAAGTCGATGACTTTAACTCCGCTGCGCCCTTGCTGCTTCAGCAGGATGTTTTCGGGCTTCAAGTCGCAATGGATGATATGGTTTTTGTACAAGGCGTCAAGGCACTGCAGGATGGAATGTGCAAATTTACGGACAAGCGGCAGACTGAACCCTTGGAACTTGTTTTTTTTGATGAGTTCGTAGAGATTCATACTGAGCAGTTCAAACGTCATACAGATGTGGTTACGGAAAGAAAAGCTCTCGAAAATGTGGATAACGTTCATACTGTTGTCCCTGTCCTGCTTCCGCAGATGCTCCAGTATCTTGATCTCCTCAGCCGCTTGCCTATGAAACCTCTTTTCATTTCGCACCATTTTCAAAGCGATATACAGGTGGAGCTTATGGTCGTAAGCCTTCACCACTTGGCCAAAACTACCTTTTCCGATCACCTTGATAACCTCATATCGGTAGGCGATGTGATCATGCGGGACATACAGGTACGAACCCTGCTCATCGTCGTAACCATTGTTGTTCGGCGCTCCAATGGTTCCTGGTCTCTTTTTAGAATTTGGTCCAACAAAATAGATCTCGGAATAGCTGGCGATTTCGTGTTCCTCATAAGGTGTCAGCTTCTGTATGTAGTGTTTAATTGCCTCTTCTGGCATCATTGGTTCAGCCTTGAGCCTGGTGGAGCTATCACATGATTTATTGAAACTGGGGCTACCTTTCCGTTGGTAAGAGCTCTCCAGGTAATACGAAGGCAGGCAACTCTTACCATTGCTACTGAGACTGTCATTTGGTGTTGAGAGTGCTGTCCATTTTACCTGTGAATCCTCAAACAGATCTTGACCTTGGAAGTGTGGTTCACCTCCAATGTGAAACTGATCATTCATGGTACGTATGTAGTTACCTTCCTGAAACAGAAGACACATATACATCCATTTACACTTCTTGATGAAGATAAATGCAGTCCTGTAGCTCAGTGATTAGAGCACTTGCCTCGCAAGTGCAAGACCTGGGTTCGATTCTCGGCAGGGCAAAACCGTGGGTAAGTTTCCTTACTGCCTGATAATAATCCCTCAAGAAATAAAATTAATAAATTAGTCACTTCAATCCACAACTGTTTGTGGGGACGCAGCTGTGTGCAATTGGCCGCCGTGTTTCGCCCACAAATATACAGTCAATTCACTTTACAGTATATTCTGTGAAGCGCTTTGAGACATTTCAAAGATGTGAAAAGTGCTATATCAAATGTTCTTATCTTGATCGCATTGAACCTATGGAATCCGTTTATCACAGACAAATTTCACTACAATAATGGTTCAAACAAGACAGTATAGTTTTTTTTATCAGCGCAAACTCGGTTTGTTTAGTGTTGACATTAGCTTTCCTAACTCTGGAAATCTATATGAAAAGTACATGAAAAATTATCATGTGCCTCTTTTCTTTCATTCTTCAAAATAGTTCTGTTCTTCAACAAATAGGGGACCAAACTATCATCTGCTAAGTGTTCCTGATCTGCAGTATTGACGTCTCACAGTGTACTTCAGATAAATTGGCATGCTGGTAGTCAGTATCTCACTACTAGCTCATTACACTGCACTTAAACTAATAAATGTCCTGCTGCTAGATGTCATAGAAAGCCTTCCAATTACACCTGACAGATTTATACTGTGAGATGTAGCTGCTAATTTCTGCCCTCGGTGAACAATCGATGATGTTTCACCTTTCCCAGTGATTTAGGGCGAGCTGCAGTCGCAAATCAAAAATACCAATGTCCACCTTGCTAATAAACCTTATAGTCGTTTCACTAAAACATCTTAATTTCTGGTCCTGTATCTAATTACTAGATTATGTTTTGAATTTTGGGGGTTCTTTCTCATAAAAAAGGACATTTTCTTCTTTTTTGGACCCACTATCAGTAGAACTCTCAGGTGCGGTGAAGATACAAGGTAAAGCTCCGTTTGCACTTCACTTAGAAAATCCAGGTCGCCCAACATTTTAGATAAAGGGTTTGATGTAGCATTGAAACCTTCAGGGAAATATTTTGTACCTCAGTTAACTGGTAGGTCTTTAATTTTGTGGGTTCTGGACCCTGAAGTTCAGATGTGCTCCATTCCTGATTTGCTGGACTTTTTATTTTGATATTAAATTAGCTTGTCTCTGATTAGTACTCTTTACATCACATTAATACGCACAACATGACTCTCGCTGCCATAACTATGAAGCAGTGCCACCTGATGAAGCATTCTTGCTTCTAAACTCAGTTGACTCTCATTAAAATGTCTTACCAGTATTTCTACGCCTACATTAACTGAAGAAGATATACCACACTTTACCAAATAGCAAGGAGTTCTGGGCTTTTACTGTATAAGAACTCACGACTGAATTTTCCGTGTTCTTTCTGTAATGGTACTGACAACAGCTGAACTGTAGATAAAATCTGGTGCGCGTTGAATGAGAAAACAGATCTGAATTGTAAAATCTTTACATTGTCAAATCATATATAAAAATAACTTTAAATGGTATCAACTACATTTAGGCAGAGCAAATTTGTAGAAATGTCTTATGACAGATTTCAAATTGTGACAGATGTTGATGACCTATTACAATGTTAAACAAATAAGATAACAGAAACAGGGAAGGATTCATGTGGGCTTGAAAGTAAGCGTTACTTTTGTCTCCCAATGGATCAACTCAGATAGATAAAAAATAAACTTTAAAAAAAATTCTAATTTGAAGAAATTGATGATATTCATTCACGTGATCTTTTCAGGCTTGACCTATATTGGACAAAAAGAACGATGTTTAACAAATCATTTCCTAGAAAATGAGTAAAAAGTTTATCTCTGAAGAATAATGAATCAGAATAAAGGGTTGAGGAGAGGCAAATTTAAAGAAAAGCAAAGTCATGGTACCCAAAATGTATGTTTTTGTTCCTGAAATGATTACATGTGAAATGATTACGTTTTGAGTTACTTGGACACATGATTTGTTTCTGCTACCACAATCCCATAGGGTTTAATACAAATATGGGTTGTTATCAGGAAACTGAACCTACAACTATGTATTTTAGCATAAAACTAAGTTATTATAGCAGACAAATAGGCAGAGGAGATGGATTGCAAAACATCACAGATAACAGCCTACTTAAATGTTAACAAGGCAATTGCAATTCTCGTTTAGAGTTAGTGCAATTTGAAATCTTACACACGTTCTATTATACACTTTGACCAAAAAAAAACATTCAAACAAGCCTGGATACAAACCAGCATCGCATCAATCAGAAAGAAATTGGGTGCATTATGGTAGGCTGCGCAAATGCCTTGCTCATCATTCATTCATGGGAGAGAGAGTATTTGGCTGACTGGAGCATGTTGCCATTCAATCTTTAAGAGATTCCAGACAAAACCCAACTCTCATTCTGAATGAGAAAGCAGTCAAATAGTGTTTTTTTTTACAAAAGTACGAAAAAGTGTTTTAAAGAATTCTAATTGGAAACTGACGCGTATCACTTTTTCCTATCTAGTTTTAAAAATGGACTGGGAAACGTGTGTTTTCGATATAATAATAATTCATTGATATACATTTGATATACGTCTCAAAGCGCTTCACAGAGTATACCGTAAAGTGAATTGACTTTATATTTTGTGGGCGAAATGGAGTAGACATTCAAGTACAAAGAGAGTCATTGAAGGAAAGATAGTGGTAAAGATCTCGACACTGGGCAAATTACAAAATGCCAAATGGCTCAATGTAATGCTGTTTGGAAGCCGGTCGTCACAGCAACAGAGTTGCTGGAAGGAAATTCTCTTCCCAGCAATTCAATTTGTAATTCAATTGCAGGGGAATAGATTAATTTTAAAAATCTTAAATGATCTTTAACAATAGGAATGATCAGTAAGCCATACTGCTTAAAGAGGTCTGTATGTAGACAAACCTGGCAATCAAGTGTTTGAACTCCTTTTCAAAACATTTTGAATAAAATCCCAGTTTCACAAATCAAAATAGTGGTGGTTCTATTGGAGTAGCAGGAGAGTGACTGTTTCATTGTATTTTCATGGGAGTATTAGTGAGCTAATTATTTTCAATAATGACTGTGAGATTATTGGTAGAATCACAGTATTAGCTATACTATTGCACCAAGGTTTACTGTTTATTTAAAATGATTTTATTGGGCACTGACAGAGACTTTCAGGTGCGGCTGAATCCCCTTCAGTAACCTTCAATAATACTAGGTTACTGTTTGGGTTACATTGATGGTTCAGAAACTTCGTCACAAAGACTGGGTGGCTGTAGTATATCAATGATGTATACCGTACAGATCATACAAAAGAGAAGCACTGGACATCTTAAGTTCATATGAAGTCACCAGGCAGCCATTCTGATATTGATGATACCAAACAAACTGTAACCCGATGAGCAAATAGGCTTCAAAGTGTTCAGGTATTTTCTAATGAACTGAACTAATCTCAACTCCTGATCCTTGACTGTTCAGCACCTTGGGACGTCCTCCCGCCGTGAAAGGCACTTCACAAATGTAATGTTGTTAATCAAGTGACTTATGTAAGTAAGCTGCTTCATTGCAGGTCAATATTTCTGAACTTTTCAAAGTGATACATGCTGGAGGTGGTCACTGGAGTATCTTTTCCTCTTGTAATACAGAGTATTGCGATCATGCACTCCCAGGCAGGTATAGTGTAGGTTATATGCTGGGTAAAAGCATATAACGTACATTACCTCAGTAATATGCCTTAGCCCCAACCTCAAATGAGTTGTCACTACAACAATTTGCAGTTATATGGTGCAGAGAGGATCAGAGGCTCATAATTCACATTGGGTACTAAACATTTACAAACAGAGGACACCAAATACTTTATGTCGAAATATGGTAGAGCTCCATAACAGGGTAAATTGTATAAAGTGGGCTAAAAATGATAAATTTTCTTCTCAACCTATGCTTCTTCATGTTCTTATGAAGCACAGTATATCTGGGATGGCATGACAAGTTGTGAGACAACTCTGACAGGTTACTGCTACATGTCACAGAACCTTTCTGCTAGGTCACAAACATCACTGAGGAGTACCACTGTGATGTCAATTGCATATAATATCAGCTGCTGTCCAGAGGTACAGATAGAATACAATAACTACACCAAGTGTGAACCAGTTCGAACATGGCATTTAAGGTTCTAACATTTGGTTTAATCAATTCAGCCCACAAATATCTAACCGGAGAGATCTTCAACTACAAAGTGAATGCCACTGGTTCTTCACTGAAGAGAAGTCAGATATGGACCATTGAGTTCACCGCAGAGGAATCCCCTATGGTCTACATCAAGAGCTCCTTTAACAGATATATAGCTGCAGATAAGGATGGGAAGATCACCTGTGATCAGGAAGTTCCCAATCCCAACTGTATCTTCCTCATGACCCTACATTCGGATGGAAGAGTTTCCTTCCAGTCTGAACTCTCAAAACGGTACCTAGGAGGAAATCAGGATAACATCACTTGTTTTGCCCAGTCTATTTCTGATAGTGAGAAGTGGCTGCCACACTTAGTCATCCATCCCAGTGTCAATATGTTCAATCCTGGCAGAAAAAAGTACTTGCGGTTTGATGAAAAAAACGGCATGGTGTGCTGCGATACAGATTTACCCTGGGGGCCCGACTGTGTCATGACACTTTACTTTGACATCAAAGAAAAGAAATATGCTATAAGGACAGGGAACGGGAGCTTCATTGCCTGTGATGGAAAGACTGAACCAGAGGTAACAAGCAGGACATTATATCGCCTGGAGATAAAGAATGGAATGATCTGTCTGAAGGACAGTCATGGAAAGTTCTTAACTGGGAGGAACAGTGCTGTCAGAACCATCAAAACATTGAATGCTAGTATGGATGAGCTATTCACAATTAACCCCAGTTCTGGGCAAGTCAATATCAAGTCTGTACTTAATGAAAAATTTGTGTCCAGTAAATCAATTTCAGGTGTCCATGCAAATGTCAGTGAAATGAAGGACGCTGAGATATTTCAGATTATAATTGATTTCGCGACAAAGAAGGTCTGCTTTCAGAATATTTCAAATGATTATTTAGCTGTTGGTCCTAAAGGTTTCATTGAAGTGTGCAATACTCTGGACTTCAATTGTGGGTTTGATATTGTGTATAATGAGGAAAAGGCAGCTTTAAAGACTTCAGATGGAAGATATGTGACTGTGAATGCCGGTGGCCAGCTCTTGGTCGGTCCAAACTCAATTGGTAAACCTGAAGAATTTATCTTGAGGCTCGTCAACAGGTCTCAGCTCATTCTCCAGAGTGACTATGGCTTTATTGGACTTATGCCTGGGAAACCGAGGTTAGTCTGCAACAGGCCCATGTATGATGCAAGCAAAATAACCTTAGATGAAAATGGGTTTTACCAGTTCAAGGTTGTCTCTCTGGATAAATACTGGGAGGTGGATGAAGACTGCTTTATCACTGCCACTGGAGACCAACCTACTAACTTCACTATTGAACTAATCACTTCAGAGACAATGATCCTAAAGGCACCTAATGGAAAGTATACAGTAGCAGAGCCAGATGGCAGTTTCAAAGCAGTGGGAAAAGATAACAAATCGGCCACATTGTTCCGATACTAAACTTCAGATTGTTTTGTGTGCATCTGTGTTTAAACAACTCTGACTCCAATTCAATCTACACTTGGATGCATGACTGAGAAGGAATAACATGTAGCAAAAAAGAATATTAAACTATATTCATGCTCGCACGGTTTCGAAATTCAATATTACTGAGGTAGTGCGTCTAATGATAGCATGTACTGGTGGGTCAGGATCACTGGCCAGTTTCCCACATCAGGCTGTTGATATAGTGAGGCAACTTCAATGGATCAGGAGAGAACCTCAATCACACCCTCAGGTCACAGCCCCAACTTGGCTAGTGTGATATTTTAACTTCCACACAAGTCATCCACATAGTCAGTCTCGCAATGAGACAAACAATTTAATGCCAATGTGCGCAGGATTATTAGGCAGTTGTGCGTGGAAAAACAATGGGGGGAGGGAGGGAGAAAGAGAGTTACCAGCTATTGATATTTACGTTGTGGGCTTGAAATTGATACTGATGCATTTCTCATACAACCCTTTCAAGTCATGACAAAGAGGTGATTTTCCTCGCATGGTCCAGGTCTAACACGCGATAGGCTAATGTGCTAACGAAACCAAAGGCACCAAGTTTTCCCTTTACGTGTTCCATTTTAAAATGGGAGTTTGTACGAAGCGGGGCGTACAAATAAAGTGAGACATTCAGTGATAGTCTGTCGCAAACAGTTCTACGAGAGTTGATGCATAGCCTCAGGGCACTTTTCTAAAAACAGGTAGCTATTCCTGAAATGCATGCGTGCACCTCCTCATACGAGTATTACTATCTTCTGCTGTTACTTAGCATATACAATTCCCTTAAGTCCAGTAGTTCCTCTGCTTCATTGGCTCTTCTTTTCTCAGCCATCTAGACTCTGGAATGCATCCAACACCACACACTACACACAGAGCAGAGCGTCTATTGCAAATCAGTTTGTTGCAGTATAGTGTTCTGAATTCAATGTGTCACCTTACGATAAGGACCACTTAAGAATTTAAAGCACAAACTTACCGGAGAATTTTATTCACTGGCGTTGATATTGGCTTTTATGAATATTTTATTGTTCCTGCCTGTGTGCTGGAGTCTCTTCAGCAATATCCCTTTTGTGTGAAAGTCACAACATTTCTGTCACAACGATTCTGATTCACCTTTGTATAGTGCCGTTCATTTATTGAATATTGCAATATGATAGGCAGAGAAGTGAAATTATTTCTGTGAGAGCACCTCACCAGACCTGAGTGAAACCTAAACAACGACGCATACAGTACATTTGTTTCGGACACAAAGATTTGTATTTCTTGGCAATTGTGGTGCTCATCCAGTTGGGGATTGAGCTGAGAACTTTTAATATTTTTTTTCTCTCTTTGCAGCCACTGCCTACAATTCACTACTTTTTAAAAAAAAAAAAAAATTTATTTTGAGAATTTGCCATGATGACGGGCAATTTTCTGATGGTCAGTAAATTTATCCGCCTCACCAGGCGAAATGCCTTATTCTTTGCTGGTCTGTGAGCATATAGAGCTTGACTGTATGAGTTTAACATGAAAAAAAAATCAAGATACATGATTATGAGGTAATACTGTAAGATCCATAAATTGACCATGAATGTGATTCATGAATATTTACCAAGATTTCTACAATGTTAAGTTTATACCACAAGTTTAAACAAGACAAAGAATTGTTTTCCCCTCCGACTGTCTTTCCTTTCTCACCTAGAAGGCATTAAACCACTTCTTGGGAATATGGTCCCAGACAAGGATGATGTTTCCATCAGCATCCGATCTGAAAGTGAACACCTCTCACTAGTTGTGCTACACGACATAAAGCAATACATTTACCCACTTAGCTCTCTAGAATTGAGTGCTCCCCCCCACCCACCCAACTTATAAATTGTTCCCTCAGCAGAGAAATAAATAATTCAATCAGCCAACTTGCCCAAAATAGAATTCAGTGCATCCTTCCTTAATTCTTCAATCTCACATAGCAGATGAAAATCAGACTTGTAAAGTATTTTACTTCTTAAAAATTCCTTGTAGTTTTTAATGACTCACTGAAGACAAAGCGTAATAGATAAGCCAAAGCTCAACATTAACTATAAATGTCAATCCACGACTGTTTGTGGGAACGCTGCTGTGCGCAATCGGCTGCCGTGTTTTACTCACAAATATACAGTCAATTCACTTTACAGTATATTCTATGAAGCGCTTTGAGACGTCTCGAAGATATGAAATGTGCTATGTCAAATGCAAGGGTTATTATAGTATTATTATTATTAAAGAGCAGCACTGATTTCAGTTGGACTGCTAATGGCAGCACAATTTCAGCCCCACGCAAACTACTCTTGCATTCCTTGGTGCTAAGGCATCACCAACTCGAGATGGTAAATCATGGAAACTTACAGCATGGAAGGAACAAAACTTAAGAAAATGGGAACAAGAAAATGGGTACAAAAATACCAAGTGAGTTTTAAAAAACAGCAGGAGAACTGAATGAAGTTGAAGGTTAACAAACTTCACTTTTTCTGAACCCATCTTTCATTGCAACTGAGGTAGTAATTGAAGTTTTGTAAACAATTCATCCAAAAAAAAATCTAACTGGAGGCTTGATTAAAAACGTAAATTATTCATTGAATGGCCTTATGGTTATGGCGTGAAGTGAACATTTCCACCCAGTGCTGATACATCGGAATGAAAAATAATCAACATGATATCAATGAGAAGTTTTAGCCTTGGGACTGTTCATGGCATTGATCCATTCAGTGCTGCAGAATTTCAATACTATTGCTTGCCTAATATACTTTAAATATAGAAAGGTCCGGGTTGAATGAATTATGACTTGAAACATTTAATTAACTTAGTTAATGCACTCTGGCCTCACTCAAACATTGCTCTCGGAGCCAAATATTTCTCACATTATTAATAAAGTGCATGTGTTGTATGAATGCCTTTTTTTGGTTTTTAAAATGGCAAAAAGATAGTCAGCAGTGATGTGTTCTGTGGTCTTATAACCAGGCATGGGTTAAATAGAGATTTCAATGATGTAGGTCATCATTGGAATGTAGCGTACAAATATTATCTTATTCATCAGTTCAGGCTCAGATAGGCTCTGCCATCTTATACCCATGTCAATTCATCATCTGAATGTTGACAGTCTATTTGATCATAGGAGCCATAGTGCCCATAGCAAACTTGTCCTCACCAGATCCCATTTGTGTGCTTCACACCAGGAGTTCAATGCGACTTTGCAACCATGGACTCCAGAACTAGTTTAACAAATCTTGAGGATGCCAAATTATATTCTTCATTTCCGTTACTGTTTCTTTTACTCCAGTGTCATTTACTGGTACAATCTTGTCATTCCACTCCAGTTTACTCGCATTTACATTTTGACTAAAACTACCGAGCACTGTCCTCTATCCACTGCTCCAATTTGTCGGTTATTTTAATACTGGGGAACAAAACAAGATATTGCTCCCAACTACAGTAATATTGACAGATTTAATGAATAATTTAATCTTGAAGTGCGATAATGAGTTTTCAGGAATCTATGCCTGTTTCATCGAGTACTGACCTCAGAGCTTTTAACGTTAACTAACCTAATGTCTTTCAGTTGAATAGTTCAGACAGTTTTTCTTTTTAATGAACTAGTATCACATCATCTTGTTTAACCTTCAGTTAACACATGCCTGCTTCATGTCCCCCAGTTGATCTGCCCCACTATCAGTGGGTGAACTTTCACCCATCCTGCCCCAACCCTTGCGAACTGATCCTCCACCTCACCTCCTCCCTCCAAGCGCAGACCCCTCGAACAGCATCGTGTGAATCCCTCCACTGGTTTAGTGGAACACTAAAATGCCTTCACCAGCACATTGTAACAGCATGGAGCAAATATCTAAATCTATCTTCCTATTCAGGGAAGGTCTGCATGTGGGGAAACCTTTCGAGTAAAAAAAAACCTACAAACGTAAAGAACTTCCTTTGTCTAAATTAATGACTGGTCATAATAGTTAAATTGGGAAATATTTGTACTCTTTCTGTTGACTCCCAGTCTTACTGTACACTCCAGAGACAATGTGAATGGCCACAGCTACTAGCTCTTCATTGCCACTCATAACTTAAGCGAAGTCGAACTCCATAATGTCACTGGAGGCAATTCTGTATAAATATAGTAGCTCTCAAGCTACCCACTGACTATCAGGTGAAAGCATGAAGTACTGGGATACAGGAGTACTGAGATACCAGCAATCTGTAGAAATACCTACAATTATAACATTCGGAATTGTCACAATTTTAGATGAATACATTTGCAATAACCAGTAACACAACTACTTGAACTATCCATTCCGCTGGCTTTCAGTCACAAGAGCATTATATTGCCGTTAAAAGCCACTTCAATCTCAAAACAGCCAGTGACACATGAACAAAAAGCATTCACCGGACTTTGAATGAATAGCACTTTAACCCATGATTAAAAATCAGATCCATTCAACTCACTGTAGCTTTTGCTGAATTAACCTCAGTGGATGTCAATGTACTCCATGTCCTTTTAAAATTCCGCTGACTAATTAAGCTCATAGAAGCTGCAACAGTACAAATAGAATAAGTTATTTAATGTTACATTATTCATGTTTTTTTTCCACGAATGTCCAACAGCGATAGTAATGTACAAGAAAATACAACTGTAAAGCGAATGTAATGAATACCTGCATTTTAAATGTTGAATTTTCTGCCTTTTCTTCTTTCAGACATTTATTCACTTAAAACTAAAAGGTTCAGGACTGCACAGTAATGCACATCATGTTGGTTATTCATAGAAAGGTTAGATTGAGATTCATGTCCGCAATCCTTCCATCTCTGCCAAGTTGTCAGGGCGGAAGATTCAGAATTGCCCCAAACCAAGTCATGGATCTCCTCGCAGCCAGTCATACACTAGCAATGGCAGAGGCCAGGCAGTTGACCCAAATAGTGATTATCCTTGGGAAGGGATGAAGGAGGAAACTGAG